GGAGGGACGCTGGGGAGTGACGCTGGGGAGGGATGCTGGGGAGTGACGCTGGGGAGTGACGCTGGGGAGTGACGCTGGGGAGTGACGCTGGGGAGTGACGCTGGGGAGTGACGCTGGGGAGTGGTGCTGGGGAGTGACGCTGGGGAGTGACGCTGGGGAGGGACGCTGGGGAGGGACGTAGGGGAGTGGTGCTGGGGAGTGACGCTGGGGAGCGACGCTGGGGAGTGACGCTGGGGAGTGACGCTGGGGAGTGACGCTGGAGAGTGACGCTGGAGAGTGACGCTGGGAAGTGACGCTGGGGAGTGACGCTGGGGAGGGATGCTGGGGAGTGACGCTGGGGAGTGACGCTGGGGAGTGACGCTGGGGAGTGACGCTGGGGAGTGACGCTGGGGAGTGACGCTGGGGAGTGACGCTGGGGAGTGACGCTGGGGAGCGACGCTGGGGAGGGACGCTGGGGAGGGACGCTGGGGAGCGACGCTGGGGAGCGACGCTGGGGAGTGACGCTGGGGAGTGACCCTGGGGAGTGACGCTGGGGAGTGACGCTGGGGAGGGACGCTGGGGAGGGACGCTGGGGAGTGACGTTGGGGAGGGACGCTGGGGAGGGACGCTGGGGAGTGACGCTGGGGAGTGACGCTGGGGAGTGACGCTGGGGAGTGACGCTGGGGAGTGACGCTGGGGAGTGACGCTGGGGAGGGACGCTGGGGAGTGACGCTGGGGAGTGACGCTGGGGAGTGACGCTGGGGAGTGACGCTGGGGAGTGACGCTGGGGAGGGACGCTGGGGAGTGACGCTGGGGAGTGACGCTGGGGAGTGACGCTGGGGAGTGACGCTGGGGAGTGACGCTGGGGAGTGACGTTGGGGAGTGACGTTGGGGAGTGACGCTGGGGAGTGACGCTGGGGAGTGACGCTGGGGAGTGACGCTGGGGAGGGACGCTGGGGAGTGACGCTGGGGAGTGACGCTGGGGAGTGACGCTGGGGAGTGACGCTGGGGAGTGACGCTGGGGAGTGACGCTGGGGAGTGACGCTGGGAGTGAGCTGGGGAGTGACGCTGGGGAGTGACGCTGGGGAGTGACGCTGGGGAGTGACGCTGGGGAGTGACGCTGAGGAGTGACGCTGGGGAGTGACGCTGGGGAGGGATGCTGGGGAGTGACGCTGGGGAGTGACGCTGGGGTGACGCTGGGGAGTGACGCTGGGGAGTGACACTGGAGAGTGACGCTGGGGAGTGACGCTGGGGAGTGACGCTGGGGAGTGACGCTGGGGAGAGACGCTGGGGAGTGACGCTGGGGAGTGACACTGGAGAGTGACGCTGGGGAGTGACGCTGGGGAGTGACGCTGGGGAGGGACGCTGGGGAGGGACGCTGGGGAGTGACGCTGGGGAGTGACGCTGGGGAGTGACGCTGGGGAGTGACGCTGGGGAGTGACACTGGGGAGTGACGCTGGGGAGTGACGCTGGGGAGGGACGCTGGGGAGTGACGCTTGGGAGTGACGCTGGGGAGTGACGCTGGGGAGTGACGCTGGGGAGGGACGCTGGGGAGTGACTCTGGGGAGTGACGCTGGGGAGTGACGCTGGGGAGTGACGCTGGGGAGTGACGCTGGGGAGTGACACTGGAGAGTGACGCTGGGGAGTGACGCTGGGGAGTGACGCTGGGAGTGACGCTGGGGAGTGACACTGGAGAGTGACGCTGGGGAGTGACGCTGGGGAGTGACGCTGGGGAGTGACACTGGAGAATGACGCTGGGGAGTGACACTGGAGAGTGACGCTGGGGAGTGACGCTGGGGAGTGACGCTGGGGAGTGACGCTGGAGAGTGACGCTGGGGAGTGACGCTGGGGAGTGACACTGGAGAGTGACACTGGAGAGTGACGCTGGGGAGTGACGCTGGGGAGTGACGCTGGGGAGTGACACTGGAGAATGACGCTGGGGAGTGACACTGGAGAGTGACGCTGGGGAGTGACGCTGGGGAGTGACGCTGGGAGTGACGCTGGAGAGTGACGCTGGGGAGTGACGCTGGGGAGTGACACTGGAGAGTGACACTGGAGAGTGACGCTGGGGAGTGACGCTGGGGAGTGACGTTGGGGACTGACGTTGGGGAGTGACGCTGGGGAGTGACGCTGGGGAGTGACGCTGGGGAGTGACGCTGGGGAGGGACGCTGGGGAGGGACGCTGGGGAGTGACGCTGGGGAGTGACGCTGGGGAGTGACGCTGGGGAGTGACGCTGGGGAGTGACGCTGGGGAGTGACGCTGGGGAGTGACGCTGGGGAGTGACGCTGGGGAGTGACGCTGGGGAGTGACGCTGGGGAGTGACGCTGGGGAGTGACGCTTGGGAGGGACGCTGGGGAGTGACGCTGGGGAGTGACGCTGGGGAGTGACGCTGGGGAGTGACGCTGGGGAGTGACGCTGGGGAGGGATGCTGGGGAGTGACGCTGGGGAGTGACGCTAGTGGGAGTGACGCTGGGGAGTGTCGCTGGGGAGTGACGCTGGGGAGTGACGCTGGGGAGTGACACTGGAGAGTGACGCTGGGGAGTGACGCTGGGGAGTGACGCTGGGGAGTGACGCTGGGGAGTGACGCTGGGGAGTGACACTGGAAAGTGACGCTGGGGAGTGACGCTGGGGAGTGACGCTGGGGAGTGACGCTGGGGAGGGACGCTGGGGAGTGACGCTGGGGAGTGACGCTGGGGAGTGACGCTGGGGAGTGACGCTGGGGAGTGACGCTGGGGAGTGACGCTGGGGAGTGACACTGGGGAGTGACGCTGGGGAGTGACGCTGGGGAGGGACGCTGGGGAGTGACGCTGGGGAGTGACGCTGGGAGTGACGCTGGGGAGTGACGCTGGGAGGGACGCTGGGAGTGACTCTTGGGAGTGACGCTGGGGAGTGACGCTGGGGAGTGACGCTGGGGAGTGACGCTGGGGAGTGACACTGGAGAGTGACGCTGGGGAGTGACGCGGGGAGTGACGCTGGGGATGTGACGCTGGGGAGTGACACTGGAGAGTGACGCTGGGGAGTGACGCTGGGGAGTGACGCTGGGAGTGACACTGGAGAATGACGCTGGGGAGTGACACTGGAGAGTGACGCTGGGGAGTGACGCTGGGGATGACGCTGGGGAGTGACACTGGAGAATGACGCTGGGGAGTGACACTGGAGAGTGACGCTGGGGGAGTGACGCTGGGGAGTGACGCTGGGGAGTGACGCTGGAGAGTGACGCTGGGGAGTGACGCTGGGGAGTGACACTGGAGAGTGACACTGGAGAGTGACGCTGGGGAGTGACGCTGGGGAGTGACGCTGGGGAGTGACACTGGAGAATGACGCTGGGGAGTGACACTGTAGAGTGACGCTGGGGAGTGACGCTGGGGAGTGACGCTGGGGAGTGACGCTGGAGAGTGACGCTGGGGAGTGACGCTGGGGAGTGACACTGGAGAGTGACACTGAGAGTGACGCTGGGGAGTGACGCTGGGAGTGACGCTGGGGAGTGACACTGGAGAATGACGCTGGGGAGTGACACTGGAGAGTGACGCTGGGGAGTGACGCTGGGGAGTGACGCTGGGGAGTGACGCTGGAGAGTGACGCTGGGGAGTGACGCTGGGGAGTGACACTGGAGAGTGACACTGGAGAGTGACGCTGGGGAGTGACGCTGGGGAGTGACGCTGGGGAGTGACGCCATATTGAATTTAATGTGTGAACATTAGACGGAATTGTGCAATAGGTCAATTAGTGTATATCGGCCTCAATCAGTAACTTACAAGTTGCTGACACGTTCCTGCTGACAAAATGGGACAAATAATGTGGAAAGCCCTTACAATTCGGCAACTAGGACGGGAAAAATAGAGGATTTCAATGAATCCTTCCCAACAACACACGTTAAGAGACCATACAATAAGTGTTAGGGGCCCGAGACTGTTCAACTGCCTCCCAGCATACATAAGGGGGATTACCAACAGACCCCTGGCAGTCTTCAAGCTGGCACTGGACAAGCACCTAAAGTCGGTTCCTGACCTGCCGGGCTGTGGCTCGTACGTTGGTTTGCGTGCAGCCAGCATCAACAGCCTGGTTGATCAGGCTCTGATCCACCAGGAGGCCTGGTCACAGACCGGGCCGCGGGGGCGTTGACCCCCGGAACTCTCTCCAGGTAAACTCCAGGTTAGCTAAGTGATACCAATAATATTCAGTAGTTTTTTTTGCATTAGCCATTATAATTCCTTGCTGTAGAGGTACCATTAGGGTATGTTCCATCAGCATTTTGCTCCAGTAATTAAATGGTGTACCCAGCAAGCCTAATTATATACAGTCCACAATTATAATTTACCAGAGTACCTGGTTTTAGTATTGTAATTATTAATTTAATGTCTAACTTTTTGTGAGAGTGGTGAAGAAGTGGGCATCGAGGGAGTTACAGTTCAGCGACCTGCTGTGACTTAAGTCCCACTTACCTCACCCAAATTACTTGCAGGTAATAATTCAGGGTCTCCTGCAGGTGATTTGCTCACATAATAATAATAATAATAATAATAATAATAATAATAATAATAATAATAAAAATAATAATAATAATAATAATAATTCACACATTGTATCTGTTATTTACATTATTCTTCTCTATGTAATGATTAGTAGTATTAAGTATACAGTATATGTCAAGAGTTACGTGGGCATTACTAAGTCTTCCAGATGAAATTTAATCGTAGAATTAGGGGAGATATGATTGGGGTGTATCGATGGAAAACAAGAATATATAAATGGGATGTAAATAACGTGCTAAAAATATCTAACCAGGTCAGGACTCGAAGCAATGTTTTTAAATTGGAAAAAAATTGATATAGAAAGGTTATAGGAAAGCACTGGTTGGGTAATTGAGTTGTGGAACAAACGTCTGAGTAGCGTTATTGACGAATATATAAGTGCGTGTTGGTGGGTGTGATCTGGACCTACCTAGCATGGGCCAGTAGCCCTGTTGCAGTGCTCCTTCTTTCTTATATTCTAATAACTACACCAGTCCTGCGTGTTTCAGTGATCACAGTTGATCGATTGATCGTCATCAAGTTCCCGTTCGGAGTGCGTCGAGCAGAAGAGAACGTGACGAAGGTGGTGATGGCTGGAGTGTGGATGCTGGTGATCCTCCTGGCTGCTCTTCCTCTCACCAACCTACAATACTTCAGTAACTTCTACGGTCGTTCAGGCGTCTGTCTGGCGCTACACATCACCAATGAGAAGCCAAGTGGATGGGAGTATGCTGTCTTTATCTTCCTCGGTGAGTTACGACCCATCTTATGCAGAACACACGCTGAGTATCCGGGATTGATTCCCGGCGAGGGTAGAAACATTGGGCGTGTTACCTTATACCCGTTGTCTATGTTTATCTTCCTCGGTGAGTTAATATTTAGTTTAGCCCATCAAGGTGTGTACCTTGATGCTGGTAAAGGTCTCTCGGTGAGTTAATATTTAGTTTAGCCCATCAAGGTGTGTACCTTGATGCTAGTAAAGGTCTCTCGATGAGTTAATATTTAGTTTAGCCCATCAAGGTGTGTACCTTGATGCTAGTAAAGGTGTCTCGGTGAGTTAATATTTAGTTTAGCCCATCAAGGTGTGTACCTTGATGATAGTAAAGGTCTCTCGGTGCGTTAATATTTAGTTTAGCCCATCAAGGTGTGTACCTTGATGCTAGTAAAGGTCTCTCGGTGATTTAATATTAAGTTTAGCCCATCAAGGTGTGTACCTTGATGCTAGTAAAGGTCTCTCGGTGAGTTAATATTTAGTTTAGCCCATCAAGGTGTGTACCTTGATGCTAGTAAAGGTCTCTCGGTGAGTTAATATTAAGTTCAGCCCATCAAGGTGTGTACCTTGATGATGGTAAAGGTCTCTTGATGAAAATAAACAGCATTACCCCCATTTTCCTCAGATTAAATCTTAATTTCCTCACATTGTCGTACTGGGAAGCAATATAGTAATGAATGATTTGGAAAGCCGACAAGTTGAAGAAATGAGATACTTATGAGAATATTTACTCAAGAAACGTTTCGCCACACAGTGGCTTCATCAGTCCAATACGAAGTAGAAATGGGTAAGGAGAGTGGGAGTTTGAAGTAATCAGTCCCTTAACCTGGAATCCATGTGTTCAGACCATCACAAAGACTTCAACACTTGTCCAACCTTTGGACGACGACCTACTTACACTAGTGGCAGGTCCCACTGTGACTCCGCCTCCACCTGCTTCACCTCATCTCACTGCAGTATATAAGCCACCTCTCTGGCCCTATACTGTACTTCCTACAAGAATGATGGACTGAACACATCGATTCAAGACTGAGGGACTGATTACCTCAAACTCCTCCTCTCCTTACCCGTTTCTACTTTGTATTGGACTGATGAAGTCACTATGTGGCGGAATCTTCAATGAAGATTCCCATATGTTGCATAAGTGTCTCATTTCTTCAGCAAGTTACATCATCGACTCCCGATACAATACTTAACAAAACACTTCTGGCTGTCCCACTTTTTTAATATATCTCAGTGATAACAATACTCATTCAAGATTACTGAGAATAATGTTATGTTGGAATTTACTTATTAATTACACAAGTATGTCCAGTGAATATTGATTCACTGGACAGTAAATTCTTGCCATTACTTCTCGTCAAATCAGCTTGAATACACTGGGTCATTTGAGCCTAGTCATGATGGCAGATCTGAAGGGACTTACCCTAGAGTATGTCACTACCAAGCTGATGTTGGATTCGTCTGTAAAACCCTGTATCCATGGTCACAGTGGTGGCCCATGATAACCTCCTTATAGTGTATAGATATACCTAGTTGGATTAATTTTATTAGTGGTTAACGCACTTGTCGGTGAGTGTTAGAACTTACTTACCGCGGGTTCAAGCCTCACCAGTTCTCACCAGTTCAGTGATTTGTTTATTGTGTGATTACGATTTCGTGAGTCGCATTTCAGTGGATATCTCGCAGATAATTAAGGCCCACACGAACAACAATGACATTCTTATAGCTTCCCCCACAAGTCCAAGCAGTTTCTTCTGTGTAAGAGTCTGCACCAAATCTCTCTATCCAAGTCGAGAGTAAAGACCAGTCTAACTTTACCCTCTTACCTGTGCCCAGTTCTCTTCTGATCATTGTCTAACAAAAACGTAACTTGAATTTTTCAAATGTAACTTTTTCCCATTATCAGAGTCTTACACAAGATCTCTGATGCTTAATTTACCAGTTTCAAAAATTAGTTTCTCCCACTGCAGGACTTCTACCTATAAACAATCATTATTTGCTAACTCCTGTTTCCTGTGGAACCCTTATCACTCTTCAAAATACTCTTCGTGAATGATAAACCGTAGCTCCTGGGCCTGTCTTGTTTATACTGAGGTCTCCCAAACTCTCAGGAAACCAGTTGTTAATTAAAGGCTCTTTGATCTCAAGTTCCCAGACGCCAGACATAACTCTGGCACATCATAAACTTACCTTCAATAACACAAGGAGAGTCTTGTTACTACCTCGACACATTATAACATTACTCTGGTGCTCTATGACTTCCAGTTTAGTATACCTGGAGAGGTTTCCGGGGGGTCAACGCCCCCGCGGCCCGGTCTGTGACCAGGCCTCATGGTGGATTAGGGCCTGATCAACTAGGCTGCTACTGCTGGCCGCAAGTAATCCAACGTACGAACCACAGCCCGGCTGGTCAGGTACTGACTTTAGTTGCATGTCCAGTGCCTGGTTGTAGACAGCCAGGGGTCTTGAAGACAGCCAGGGGTCTTGAAGACAACCAGGGGCCTTGAATACAACCAGGGGCCTTGAAGACAACCAGGGGTCTTGGAGACAACCAGGGGTCTTGAAGACAACCAGGGGCCTTGAATACAACCAGGGGCCTTGAAGACAACCAGGGGTCTTGAAGACAACCAGGGGTCTTGAAGACAACCAGGGGTCTTGAAGACAACCAGGGATCTTGAAGACAACCTGGGGTCTTGAAGACAACCAGGGATCTTGAAGACAACCAGGGATCTTGAAGACAACCTGGGGTCTTGAAGACAACAAGGGGTCTTGAAGACAACCAGGGGTGTAGACAGCCTGTACTGTCAGAACACACAGCCTAGCCGTCTGCTCTGACTAGTTCATATTTCGCGGCATTTAGGTGCTGCCCTCTATAGGCTCACTCAGGTCAGTGGGAGGCTCAGCCTATTCGCCCTCACTCCTAGGCCGACCCTCTTGATAGACACAAGTGCTTCCCCTCCACGGACTGGCTTGCGGTCACTCACACTGCCCGTTGTGTACTCACTCCTATCCAATTAAAGCCAAACTAGTCCACGGCCGTATCACTGCTACCTACGCTACCTTCATCGGCACTAAACCACTGTTCAGCAGCAAGAACAGCAATAACAGGGGTCTTGAAGACAACCAGGGGTCTTGAAGACAGTTAGGGGTCTTGAAGACAACCAGGGGTCTTGAAGACAGTTAGGGGTCTTGAAGACAACCAGGAGTCTTGAAGACAACCAGGGACCTTGAAGACAACAAGGGGCCCTTTAAGACAACCAGGAGTCTTGAAACAACCAGGGGTCTTGAAGACAACCCGGGGTCTTGAAGACAACCAGGATCTTGAAGACAACCAGGGGCCTTGAAGACAACCAGGGGTCTTGAAGACAACCAGGGGTCTTGAAGACAACCAGGGGTCTTGAAGACAACCAGGGGTCTTGAAGACAACCAGGGGTCTTGAAGACAACCAGGGGTCTTGAAGACAACCAGGGGTCTTGAAGACAACCAGGGGTCTTGAAGACACCAGGGGGCCCTTTAAGACAACCAGGGTCTTGAAGACGACCAGGAGTCTTTAAGACAAAACCCGGGTCTTGAGACAACCAGGGTCTTGAAGACAACCAGGGGTCTTGAAGACAACCAGGGGCCTTGAAGACAACCAGGGGTCTTTAAGACAACCAGGGGTCTTGAAGACAACCAGGGATCATGAAGACAACCAGGGAGCTTGAAGCCAACAAGGGGTCTTAAAGACAACCAGGGGTCTTGAAGACAGCCAGGGGTCTTGAAGACAACCAGGGGTCTTGAAGACAACCAAGGCTCTTGAACACAACCAGGGGCCTTTAAGATAACCAGGGGCCTTGAAAACAACCAGGGGTCTTGAAGACAACGAGGGATCTTGAAGACAACCAGGGGTCTTGAAGACAACCAGGGGTCTTGAAGACAACCAGGGATCTTGAAGACAACCAGGGGTCTTGAAAACAACCAGGGGGCTGAAGACAAACCATGGATCTTGAAAAACAACCAGAGATCTTGAAGACAACCAGGGGTCTTGAAGACCAACCAGGATCTTGAAGACAACCAGGGGTCTTGAAGACAACCAGGGTCTTGAAGACAACCAGGGATCTTGAAGACAACCAGGAGTCTTGAAGACAACCAGGAGTATTGAAGACAACCAGGGGTCTTGAAGACAACCAGGGGTCTTGAAGACAACCAAGGGTCTTGAAGACAACTAAGGGGTCTTGAAGACAACCAGGGATCTTGAAGACAACAAGGGGTCTTGAAGACAACCAGGGGTCTTGAAGACAACCAGGGGTCTTGAAGACAACCAGGGGTCTTGAAGACAACTAACGGGTCTTGAAGACAACCAGGGGTCTTGAAGACAACCAGGAGTCCTGAAGACAACCAGGAGTCTCAAAGACAACCAGGGGTCTTGAAGACAACCAGGGGCCTTGAAGACAACCAGGGATCTTGAAGACAACCAGGAATCTTGAAGACAACCAGGGGTCTTGAAGACAACCAGGGGTCTTGAAGACAACCAGGGGTCTTGACGACAAACAGGGGTCTTGAAGACAACCAGGGGTCTTGAAGACAACCATGGATCTTGAAGACAAACATGGATCTTGAAAAACAACCAGGGTCCCTTGGAAGACAACCAGGGGTCTTGAAGACAACCAGGGGTCTTGAAGACAACCAGGGGTCTTGAAGACAACCAGGGGTCTTGAAGACAACCAGGGGTCTTGAAGACAACAAGGGGTCTTGAAGACAACCAAAGGGTCTTGAAGACAACCAGGATCTTGAAGACAACCAGGAGTCTGAAGACAACCAGGAGTCTTGAAGACAACCAGGGGTCTTGAAGACAACCAGGGGTTTTAAGACAACCAAAGGGTCTTGAAGACAACTAAGGGGTCTTGAAGACAACCAGGGATCTTGAAGACAACAAGGGGGGGGTTGAAGACAACCAGGGGTCTTGAAGAAAACCAGGGGTCTGAAGACAACCAG